GTTAAATGTGTTCTTTACTGTGGGAATAAACTTCTGGGGGAAGAAGTGGAATGATCTAAGGAGTTAGAGCATCTCTTCTTTATTTGTGCCTCTTTCACATGAAGTTTTGTATTTATTTAATTTAGCAAGACATTAAGTAATAGTGGAAGATTACAGCTGGTTTTTATTTGACCCTTAAATACAGAAGTGAATGAGAGAGAGCTGCTGGTAATTACAGTACATGTTCATGGACAATGAAGCACTGACCAAAAAAAAGCAAGTATTGCCCTATAAAGGCTGCCAGGTAATGAAGGTGCAGGATTCCCAGCAGTTCCTCTGAAATAATGGTGTGCTATCACCTGGAAGCATGTAGTGCAGGAAGAAATGGTGCAAATAGGAAAAACACTGGCTATTTTTTCACCTTCACCTGCTGTTACTGAGAATGGATGAAATGCAGCCACCAGATTTTCCACCTTGCCTTTCTGGTAGACTTTGTTTCCTTTTGTCATGTAAGCTTTCATCACACCTGAACCTCTCCTACTGCAGTAGGGAGCAGTTTCTCTGTTCCCTGCTGGCTGGTCTAGCTTCTTTTCTTTCATTTGGTTTGATGAAAGACCATCTACTATTTATTTATAAATACCTGCTGACACAAACAATTTTGGTGTTTGGAGTGCTACAGCTTTCTCTTGTTACAGATGATGATCTAATCCAAGACTTCCTTTGGATGGACTGTTGCTGTGAAATTGCAGACAAGGTAAGTGCATTTCCTTCTCAGTTAACAGAACATTCATTCAGTGAGAAATCTGCCCTTAATTACTTGATACTTTAATGCAAATACAGAACATCATCTTTTTCTAGTGGTTTCACGTGGAAGTTTTAAGAAACTTAATACATGCTTTCCTCATTGTTAAAAATGATGAAAATATCTTGGTGCAAGATGTGTGAATCGATGTAGGAAATACTGTATCTAAGTAACACTTTGATACTTCATTTTACATTTTAAAACAGTATCTCTTGGCAATGACTTTCGTTTATTTCAAGAGAGCTAACTTCACACCAAGTGAGCATACCAGAATCAATTTCTTTGCGGCTCTGTAAGTACTTTAAAACTATCTGGTTTTATTAGAATAAACTTTGCATTGTATTTCTTTCTGACACTGATAACTATAATAGGTGATGAGACTTCCTTGAGGAATATAGAAACAACCTGATCTAGGGGGTGGCATCCCCAGGGGGTGGCAGGGGGGCTATCCCTTCCCACCCAGGCCATTCTGAGGTTCTGTGATAATCTACATACTGTACATAACCAGTGCAAAGTCACTGTTCTTCCTGAGATGGAACAAGCTTGAGCAGCAGGCAGGGCTTGCTTGCACTGCTGTAGTGATACACACAGTGGCATTCCACCCACCAAACTGAATCTGGGAGCTTTTTAAAGCATTACAAGAAATACATTCAGGACAATACACAACAACATGTAGGTGGCTCACAGGTGCTCATATAAAACCCTGTTTCATATCTTTGCCAGCCTTTAGGGCATTTGTAGCAAAACATTTCACCATGGTATCTCAGGAGTAAATTGTTATTAAAGTTTCTGTCAATATATTTAAATCAACTGTAAAAACATAGCTAGAGAATTTCTTTGAACTTTTTTGAACAGTTGTAAAATGCCTATACTTTGAAACAGTGGTGGAATCAGTAATCCAGGCCTACATAACCCTCTTTATTTGGCTATACCTGCAGAGTGTTCTGCATTTTTTTTTTTAATTTTTACAGTGTTACGGTGCTCAGGTCATCTTTTGTTCCATGGCTTCTCAGATGCTCTGATTTGCACACAAAGGGGGCAAAGGTGGCTGTTCCTTCTGCTGTCACTGGTGCTGTGGGTGACACCCACAGAGCTTGGAGGAGGGAGCCCTCTGACCCCCCTGAAGGGGGAAAAGCCAGGCCAGAACAGTGAAAGGGTTAGAGGGGGACAGAGAGTCTGGTGAGACTGGGACTAGAGAGAATATTGGGGTCAGGAGCAAGTGAGAAAACTGGGGAGGAGACCAAAAGTCCTAATTTTTCAAGTGTGATTTACAGGAGTTTAGTACCAGGTGGGTCCAGAGGAAATAAACATTTTCCTGTTGTCTGAGAAGACAATTTAAAACTAAAAGTAACTAGGTAGTGAACCAAGGGAAGAACAGAGACATTAAAAAAGTAAGTTTTGCATTTCTAACTAAAGGTAGACCTGTATTTAGTTGTTTGCTCATAATTTAATATGAACAATGTAATTTTCCAAGAATAGCTAAAATCCATAAAGTAAAAAGTGAAGAGTTTAAGAATTCACAGGAGAGTTTTAAGCCTTATTTAAAGAATTTAAAGCATCAGAATCAGAAATTGTTCATTTTATTGAAGAGTTTCTTGCCAGCTTGGAGAAGGATGTCAGGATGTATTAGTTCTTGCTTATCTATTAATTTAGGAAACTCAAGGGTAAAACAATTTCTATAGAAGCTTGGGTTTTTTACCCAAAGGATGCATATGGAACTAATTAAGAAAATACTGTATTCCAGAGAGTAGGCTGTATTTTGTTAGTGTTTTTTCCTCACAATACTAGAAAAAAAGAACCACTGCAACATAGCTGTTACTTTATGTTAGAAATCATTCTAATATAGTGCTATAAGATTGAATAATGTTTACAAACATAAACATATATCTATTTAAAGGTATCTGGCAAACACAGTTGAAGAAGACAATGAAGAAACAAAGTATGAAATTTTCCCATGGGCTTTGGGCAAAGCCTGGAGAAAGCTGTTCCCTGATTTCCTAAAGTTAAGAGATCAGCTTTGGAGTAGAATTGACTACAGGGCTATTGTAAGCAGACGCTGCTGTGAAGAGGTAGGGAGGGAGATTTCATATTGTAGATGCTGAAATCACAACAAGTAACACCAGCTTGCAATTTAGCTCTGTACAGCTAATTTAGTTTCTTCCCTAAAGTAAACAGACAACCCATGGGAAAGAAAAGATGCTGCTAAAACGTAATGGTCTATTTATCCTCCATAGTTTTTCCTTCTCCATTTAAAATACAGTATTTGAAACAGTGTTTTTTAAGTAAACTAGAATATCTTATATTGCACTACTGTTAAAAGTGAAGTTTCTATTGACTAGTATTTGCTTTGTGCAAATATTTTTTTTATTTAAAATCTACCTTAATTTGTTTCACTTCATCCACTTTAGAAATAATTTTGTGTGCTTTACAATTTATAAGGAAAAAATATATTCCTCATTTTTCAGGTGAAGTGTGTATCTGGAAAAACCCTTGTCATACTCTAAGTACATAATGTTTGCTTCCAGATGGTGGAAAATAAAATCTCCCATTTACTCTAGAGGCCCATTTCTGGGGATGGGATTAGATGCCATGGGAAAAGCACAAAGAGCACGGCGAGTGCAGGATGCTTTTCCTTGCACACCCTCCCAGCTTCCCACTGTTGTTATTTCAGTGATGATGAGCACTGCAGCTGATGTTTGGAGTGGCCAATGAGACCAGCTTGGTTCCAACATGCCCACATGAGTGGCTGTTTGTGATAACTCAGGTGAACATACAGGGCTGGAAGCTGGGATGTTTCCACACCTGACTGTATCAGGATTACTTACCCCTGCCTAAGGACAGTGAGACCGATAAGAGATGATGCCCATTTCAGCTAGGTTAATTCGCTGCCATACCCCAACTGGATCCAGTTTTCAGCTGTGTGTTTCCCCATTACATTTGCTGTTCCTGATGCCACCATGGCTGTTCCCACAGGTGATGGCCATCGCTCCAACACACTACATCTGGCAGCGAGAGCGCTCGGTGCAGCACAGCGGCGCCCTCAGGAGTTATGAGGATCAGGTGCAGCTGCCCCGGGGCCCCAGTGCCACCCCCACAGACTGTCTGCTGTGCGGGAAGAAGGGCAGGTTTGTACGGCTGGGATTGTCATCCTCCTCCTCCTCCACCGACACGCTGGAGATGATGGACCTGCACTCCTCCCAGAAATCAAAGGATGCCTTTGCAACTGACAAAATGCTCATCGACTCTCCTTCTTGTAAAGCCCAAGGTATGGTGTGGGTTTCATGGTATAGGAAAATGCTGTGAATAATTTTCCATACTTGCCCTTCTGAGTGCTGCAGGAACTGCTTTGTCCCTCTCCATTACACATCAGCAGAACTGTGCTTTTACCCTCATGGATTCATTTTCACATATTGTATCTTGGCTTCCTGGAAGTACCAACTGCTTTACATTGACTCTCTTCATGTTATGTTCACCTACTACGGTAGATTTTGAGCACATTTCAGTATATTTGCATGCTTTAGTTACCAACTGCTTTACATTGAGTCTCTTCATGTTACTTTCACCCACTACAGCAGATTTTGAGCACATTTCAGTATTTCAGTATATTTGCATGCTTTAGTTACCAACTGTTTTACAGAGAGTCTCTTCGTTCACCTACTATGTTAGATTTCAGCTGCATTCCAGTCTACTCAGCCATTTGTTACTATTTTTGCATTATAAATGAAATTGAGAGTCCTGTTTTAAATGATTTTTTATGCCTGGAACAATAAGAATACTGGTACATGTAAAGTGAGTCAAAGTGCTCTTGCTGAGAGCATGTTTTGAGAAAGGGCAGGATGCTCATTTGTGGTATGGGTTTGGACATAGAGGAAAATGGAAATTGTGATTTAACCTAAGTATCTGATTTGTTGGCAAATTATACAAGACTGTTTTAATACTGGGGTATGAGTAGAAAACCAGATCTTATTGCAAGAATTGCTTACATAATTGAATCTCTGCCCATCAATCTACTCACAATGGCATCCTCAGCCTTTGCATTAGGGCCTTCTGTTACATACAGCAGCTGTGGGGCAAACCCATTATTAAATTTATTATTAGAAGTTAAACACACTTGAGATGTAAACTTCCTCAGGCATCTGGATAAGGCCTCAGCTCTGCAAAGACACTCTCCTGTAATTAACCAGTGCAGAGTTCCTACTACACTTATCTAATACAGAGGTAGTTATTTATTGCTCTGTATATTTTATTTGCATGTGTTCTCATTAATATCCAAATTTTCACCATTACAGTAAGATTGTTACTGTTTTTGACAGCTTTAGTACAAATATGATTCTCAACTTGGAAAAAAATTGCATTTGACTATTTCCTGAGATATAAAGCAAGTCAGGTGTTTACAAAACAAAACTTAATAATTTAATGTGTTAAACATCACCACTTACTCAGGGAAGACCCAAAATGACTTCAAGTCTGTTTTAACTTGAGAGATCTGGCTTCTCATCTCTGACAAGGGCCAGAAAAAATGGTGTTTCCTCCAACCATTTGAGAATACTTTATATGAAGCTTATTCACAAATAAGCAGGCAACTTGCAGCATGAGTGCTGGAAGGGAACCAAAGCTGTGCCTGTCAACAACTGTTCTGATGTTGAAATAAGCACAGCTTTATCAAGTGAACACATTCAGTGAATTTCAGTATCTCTTAAAGTTATGCTTTAAGAACTTTGTTCTTAAAGCAACCTATAGTTGGAAGCCAGCAAAGTATTCATTACAAAGGAGAGCCTTTGATTCTTCATTTTCTTACTAAAATTTTTTCTCCTTATTTCTGGTAGACTGTCTGAGGCTGTCCAGCAAAAGGCAACCATGCAGCACCCTGGATCAAGATAAGTCTATGGACTGGTTTACAAGCAATGGGGAATGAAGTGCACCTGATAAGACAGAAACAGATCCTGTGATTTGCAGAACAGCCTGGGCTGCATCACAACACCAGACGTGATGATTCACTTCAAACTTTTACCCCTACATAGGGGGATAACAGTTGGTGTTTCAAACCTGATATAAGGTAGAAATCAGAGCAGTCATTGCTTAAAAGTTACACAACTTGCAAAATGTAGCATCTACTTTGTCATGTTTTATTTCATTCTGATACAATACTCAAATTAGCAGCTAAGGAGGCAGCAGCATCAAGAAAGCAGTGGTCCAAACTTTCTCAGCTTGGTAAGGAACGCTAATTAAAAAACAAAAGTTACTACTTTAGTATTTCAATACACAATGATTGTTTTATTATTATAAGTTTTGTGGTTTCATGATATAGGAAAATACCAAATGCTAATACAAAAAAAAAAAAAAAGGTTTATTTGAAATAAAAATACCACTAAACATTTAAGATAAACTTTTTCCAAGTCTCACCTGAATGAGCTTCCTGCCAGTGGGATGGTCGGGCAATGTAAGGCACTGAGTGGTTTGTTTCAGCAGCAGCACTGAGTGACTCTGTGAGAAGGACATTTCTTTTTATTTTGTTCCCACAAGTTTAAGACCTACATGCAGCCTAGAGTAGACAATGCACATGTAATATTTTTCCCTGATTTTTTTTTTTTTTGTTGTCACCTATCAGAATATTCAGAACTCTGCATTTTCCAGATCTATACAGTATATATATTTACATTTGTCACATAAATATAATATATATATATATATATGGCAGCATTTTTGGATTTGCCAGAACAGCATAATTCCAAAACAGAGCTCACTGGCCACTGTTTCTCCTAAGGAATCCTTAAGTCCATCAGGGTCCTCTAAAGCAGCTTTGTGGTGAGTATAGAGAACTGAATTTTCTTAAGAATCTAAAATTTGAGAACAGTAGTATAAGGGCAGTCACTCTTTATTGCAGATTGAAATTTATTTTTTATTTAGGCCAGGTTTTTAGTAGGATATTTTAACTTAAATAACAATTAATAGTCTTCTTTAAACCTGACAAGGTCTGGGGTGTCCTTGCCTGTTCTCAGCTGACCTAGGTAAAAGCACTGGATCATCTAAGTGCAGTAATAGGGGATCTCACCAGCAGTGAAGTCCTTACCATTGTATTCGCTCTCCTTAAGAACTGCTTCATCCTGAATATGGATTTCTTCATATTCATTTTGAGGTGGTTCTTCAATATTTTCTTGAGTTCCCACCATGTGGCTTGATTTGTTATGCTTGAGTTTAGCAGGGAGTACTGACCAGCTCCTGTGAGTTACCTCAATTATCCTTTCACACAAAAAGGGAAGCTTGCAGCTCCGTATTCTGTCTAAAAGGTCAATAACCTGTGTGATGCTTTTGAAGAAATGCAAAGGGTAAAGTAGTATTTTGAAAACTCAAAGCACAAAATTTCAGTTTTACTGACTTTGACACATTCTTTACCTCTGAGGTTACATGAGTCCTTCAGTTTTAGGGTAAAGGAGCAACCTTTGCATTGCATTGGAGAACAGTGCAGTTACTTTGAGGATGCCATAACGGCCAAACTTCACTGACCAGAATGAGAACATTCCCCAGGCAGATGCCAAAGGGTTTGGCCAAGTGTAATTTATACTGAGTACCACTCCCAAAGAAAGTTACATGGGGAAAACCCCCAACTTTGTTAACCATTTCATTAATGCTGGATGTGGATTTCAGAAGATGCTTGGTTTTGTACTGAGGCCAGGTAATGCCTGAGTAAAGGTGCCAGTAAGAAATACTTACTTTGCCAAGTACACAGCACACACCCCACCTTGTTTCAGGCTTGGGTGTACGACAGGCAGAGCACACTGAGGGTCCAGCATGTCCAGAACTACCTGCAAGAGAAAGACACATTAATGTGCACTGCGAGAACATATCTACCTCTACCAGAGTAACACACAGCAATGCTGGGGGGAAAAAAGGTTATGGAAAAGAGAGGCATACAACAGCAATGTGTAATCATCCTCCAGTTTTATCACTGCCTCTCAAAACCTGAGGTGCACTTACACAAAATGAAGTCCTCTCTACTTCCAAATGAATTTCTATTAAAACAGCAAGTAGCATTTGACCAACTAAGCAGGTCTGTAGGAAGTTAAGCCTCCTAGTAATTTAATAACATAATCCTGACAGTAATAAAAACTTTTAAAAGACTACATTTACTAACACATTTGAATACCTATTTCTCAAATGTGAAAAAAAAAGATTATTCAAATGTATAAAAAGAACACATTATGGTCACAATGTCTAACTTGCTGTCAGTTTCAAGATTAACAATACTTCTTGTCTTTGGTAATTTATCCATGTTCTGCTAGGAAGCTATCCAGATTGTAGAACAATGGGGTATGCAATATCTGATCCTTCCTGCAGGACTGTTATTTAAAACATTTTTGAAAAGGTATTTTTATGCTATGTTTTATATTTCTTTGCTTGCACCATTTTAAAAATTGCTATTTGTTTAAAGCATTTAGTAAGTAGTTGTAAGTAGTTTGTCAGCTTTACAGGGAAGAATGGTAAACATCAACCTATTTTCCTCAGCAAAACTCCTTTTAGGAAATCTGGATACAAAGAAGCAGGACAGGAGAACAAGCCACAGCATTCTCTAAATTATGGTGTAGTTACATTGTGCATTCTTTATAGCTGATAGAAAAGTGGTCACATAGTTGCATATTAAATAAGGTTCTTATTCTTCTGGAATTTAATGCTTGAAATGTATCTCATGAGAATATCAGTTTCTCAAAAATACAAGAAAGCAAGTTGGTATTTGCTTACAAGACAGCAGTAATTAATTGTAGTATTTCTATTGTACAGCTTTATCACTTTTTCATTTGACAACCTGTAACTGGAATCTTGAAAACATTTGTATCTGACAAAAAAATTACAATGTTTCTTTCACTGATGAGGACCTGGAGTGTTATTTCTCACATTGCACTAGGTATGGGAATCCCTTGCGTGAGCACTAGAGGTTGACACTGATGGAGAACAGACAGGTGTCAGATGGGGGAGTTGTTGGGATTCACTCACTGCATCAAGTGTTACAGATTTCAGATCTGCAGCAGCTGCTGAAATGTCCTTCAGAATGAACTCCACGTTATCTGGCCACTCGTCCGTGTGTCCGATTTGCCACGCAGAGCGCCAGTGCCTGTAATTCTTCTTTGCTAAATTATGGTGATCCTCTCTGATCTCATAACTCAGAACACGGCCCGTGGGCCCAACTGCAAACAAACAGAACGCACTCCACTCACCACTTTACACTGCTGTTACAAGGACTTGGGGAAAAACCCAACAAAAGCAAAAGCATAGTCTATAACTTAAGTACACTTTTCCATCTCCACTTTAGGAAATTATCACATATGAAACAATCAATAACAATCTATGTTTTCTTTACATTTCAAACAAACATGCAGAAAAAGTGCCTTTCACAGACAGCAATCCATCAATGCACAGATGAAATAAAGTGTAGCTATGGTAGTACAGACTGTTCCAAGAGGTTCTCCTGAAGTCACTCGTGCAGCAAAAGACAAGTTGAGCATCTGTGGCCCCTGCTAGGCCCTTCTGCTAGAGCAACCAAAGGTACCAGCTGGGAATGCTGCACCAGTGCTCACAGAAACCTGCTCACTGATCTCAGCCACACAGACACATTTTCCAGTCTACTCTTTGATTTACCTGGCTTTGTGTAAGTTTCCTGCTACTGTCTGCAACAGCAATAAATTATTAAGACTAAATTTACTATTCTGAAATTTACCATGAGTCCAATGTACACTGTTTCTCATACAGGATGCATTTCCAGGCTGTGCAGGCAGACAGCAGGGTGTGCACTGCTGTATTGTTCCATATTTGTATTACTCCAATTCCTCAAGCCTATCCCATCACTCACTTCTCTCTCCTTGCTACTCTGGAATGGGTGCAGGCAGCTGTCAGGAACCAGCAGCTCCCCAGGTCACTTCTGTGCCTTTTTAAGCCATTTCAGTTTGAAGTCACCAGGTCCCTTCCCTCACCTATGTGATCCCACTGTGAATCCATGCATATAACTGAGTAAAAGAAGGGATGGATTTTTCCTTGATCCAGCTCACTCCACATGAGACACAGGCCAGAACCAGCTAGCAGGAAAGAGAAGGTTGCAGCACGATGCCTTTGATCACCTGAAGCAGTTGCAGAGTCACAGTGCCAACTCCTTGTTACCTTAGATTATCAGTTTAGAAACATCATAAAAATTAAATTCTTCCCACTGGGGGGGGGGTCAGTTTTACCCCCACTCATTCAAAGTATTTTCTACTTTTTGAAAATGCTTTTTAAAAAATAATAAAAAGGTGAAATAGCTAGACAAAACTTCATTACTGTGAAGCTACAGTATACATACAATTTGCATACATCATATTTTCCAGTTCTCAAAGATCTTAAAGTCATGACAAATACCACTCTCTCAACTCTCCTGTTTCATGTCAGCAGTTTCTGGGAATTATTAAAGAAAGAATTGAAAATAAAATATAAAAGGAGTAACAATTAAGAGATGAATTAAATCTGTTAAATCAACAAGAATTTTGGAAATTAAATAATTCCATGGACATGGTAAGGTGCCCACTACATCTGGATTCCAGCATTTACCCACACAGCAGCTGTTTCTCTTTTTGGTTATCACTGGTGTGTATTCAATGGTGGCAAAAGCAGCCACCACTAGGAACCAGCAAATCAAATCTATTTATTTCTGTGTCAGCACCAAAGTGTGTTCAGCTGTGACTACAACTGGATGTATTTGGTGCTGATTTAAATTCAATAAATTTGAAAATAGCAATGCAATTTCATACCTTTTCCCACTCCTCAAAACAGAGCTGATCTGGCACACAACAACTGCACTCTTTCCCTGGAGAGGGTTAACAGCCTGGTAATGGTAATGCCAATGATTTTGCCAACTTGGCCTGTTTATAGCTAAATTAAAGTGATCAGAAAAAAAACTGTTGGACAAGACTGAAAAATGAGAGGAATAATTGGCAAGTTCAGGTGTGCTCGTATGAAATGGCCACAGTAGGCTGAATACCCAAGGCAGAAAGATCAGCTGCTGTATTTAGCAAGAGCTAGCTTTTGCCTTAGCCTGTAGCAGGTGTTCCATCTCTTTGGGTTCTGGGTCTGCCTGAAGGGCAAGCTGGGGAAAGCTAAGGACTCCCACCTTCCCTCTCTCTAAATGGAAAGAGAAGTGCTGATCTTTATCTTCTGTTTCCTCAGCTTCTAGCTCCTACAGCAGGAATGTTTGCTTTGAGGATAATCCCATGCTAGCTTCAAAATCCCAATACAACTAAAAAAACCCAAATACCAGCTTATTTCAGAGAGATGATCAGAAGAAATCAAGCAATAGCAGTAGGAGGCAGAAGGATGGAGAGGAAACAGAGGTGCAACTGCTGACCTTGAAACTTGGGCCCAACATATCAAGACCAGCTGCAGCTGAGTGATCTTGAGGCATGGCTGAAACTCAGCTTTCTGCAAGGCCTCTGGTAACCATTTACACTATGGCCCTCTAAGCACAGTCAGAATGGTTCGCAGTCCCTATGCTGATGTAACTTTCCTTCAAGTCAACAAAATATACATGAACTGCAGCAAAGCTTTCATGAGCTGAACAAGTAAGGACCACGAGAACCATAAGTATCTGGGCAAAAAAACCCCCCAAGTTGTGATAAGGAAATAAATAAACACTGTGTTGTCTAAAGCCAGATTCCCACCTGCTCTTGACAGAAACAAGCTCATAGCACCGGATCCGCTGCCAGTTTCCAGCACGGTGTCTCCCGGGTGGAGATCCATCATCATTAGCAGAGCACTTATATCCTGCGAGCGAGAAAAACGATACGTTATTACTCGCGGGAAATTCAAGGTGAGATTCGGCCAGCGACCTCCCAGCCACGGTACCTTGGGGTAGGCGATGGTGGCTCCCCGCGGCATGAGCAGCACGTACTCGTCCAGCGAGGGCCGCCTCAGCAGCAGCCGCTTCCCGGCCGACGTGCGCAGCACCTGCCCGGGCAGCTGCCCGATGATGTCGCGGTGGGGCAGGAGCCCGCTGGGGCTGCTCAGCACCGTCTCCGCCGCCAGCCGGCACAGCACCTTCAGCGTCCAGTTGTTCTTCCTCGGCACCGCCGCCAGCGCCAGCTCCCCGGCGCGGAAAGGGCCGGAGCGCGGACCCGCCGCCCCAACCAGCGCTTGACGGGGGGCAACCAGCGGCACCTCCTCCTCCTCCTCCTCCTTCTCAGGGCGAGCCTGAGGCGGCTCCAGCGCTGCCGCCGCCGCGCCCCGCGCCACCGCCGCCGCTTCCTCGGGCGGCAGCAGCCGCCTCACCCGCTCCAGCGGCGACAGCGAAGTCTCCCATGCCCGCCTGCGAGGCTTCCCGTCGGCAGGAAAAGAAGAAGAAGAGGATGAGGAGGCGGCCGCCCGCCGCAGCGCGCGCCAGACCCTCATGGAGCGGCCGGGGGCGGGAAAAGAGGGCGTGGCTCCCCTTCGCGACCGTCGCCCCGCGCGCCTGCGCCGCACGGGGCGAGCACGCGGGCGGTGCATGCGCCGCGCGGGGCGGGCCGGGCAGAGGCGAGGGGAGCGCGCGCGCCATGGCGGCCCCTCCGTGCGCCTTTTCTCCCCGCGGGTGCCGCTTGTTCGCCTCGGCCGGGCCCGATGGGCGGCTCCGCGTGTGGGACACGGCCGGCAGCCGCCTGCAGCACGAGTACGTGCCCTCCGCCCACCTCAGCGCCGCCTGTACGTGCCTGGCCTGGGCCCTGGCGGGTGCGCGGCAGCCCCCCAGCAAGGTGCGTGCGGGGAGGGAGCGGGGAGGCGGCGGGAGGGGGGCACGCGTGAGGAGCGGGATGGGGATGGGGATGGCGGCCACCCGAGCGGCGCTGACGCGTGGCCGCGGCCCGCTCGGCTTCACCCCGCCCTCCCGGCGCCATGTGGCCGGGCGGGCCGGGGAGCGGGGTGAGGGTCCCGGAGCTCCGCGGGGCTCGGGCACCGGCCCGGCCCGTCCCCCTGCGGCCCCGGGGTGCGCGGGGTGCCCACGTGTGGCGCGCCCTGGGATGGGGAAGCGCGGGGGGAGCTGATCCCCCTCCCAGCATTGCGCTGCTTATGGTAAATTTCACGTGTCGGTGGGGGAGGCGGCGCTGGAGGCTTAATTTTGTGGTTTTTAAAACAAAAATTCGGCTGAAGCACTGACTGTTGAAAACCATTTGTCTCTCATGTTATCTGCGTGGAAGAAGCCTTCCTTGAAGGAGCGAGGTATGTTAATTGATGGCACGTAATTGAAAAGGCGATGCTGCAGAGCGGGTCAGCTGCTGTGCACCCCCTTAGTTCCCTCTCCGGTAAAGGCAGGATCTCTCCACGCTTCCTTAGCCTTGGAAGTACTCCCGTGCAAGCTGCTACACTGTCTATGATTCATCTTCCCGAGTCCAGGAATCCCGCAAGAAGGTGCTCAGTAGTTTTAATTCACAGCGTGCATCGGGAGTGCTTGGATGTTCTCCACCTGGATCAAGTTCAGTTAACGTCACCTCAGGTGAACGCTGAACCTGAAAATACCTGGAGTGTGTACTGGGGTACCTTTTGGTCTTCTTTATGTTGAAATAATTCTTTAGCTGGAATGTACCATTTCCTGAGGAAAAAAAGAATGCAAAACTTGCATAAAATATGAGGAACCTCCCCCTTTATCATAAGAAGTGAGGAGGGGTTTTTAAAGTGTGTTTCAGTATATCAGCAATTCAATGTATTTGAAATGCTGTTCAGGCTCTTTCAAAATGCATAAAGCACAATTATCAAGCCAAAGGAGAGCAATATTGTTTTGCTCAGTTGAGCAGCTTTGAAAACTCCCAGGACGTGAGGAATGAAGTAGAAAGAGTCAGTTTTAGGTGGCCTGAACCCGTTCCTTTGTCATGGAACTTTGCAGTAAAAACAATCCGTTCATCACTTGCAAAGCTGTATAGGTTCATTGCTCCTAAATTCACTGAAGCTGGCATGTGGAAATGGGGTTAATCTGTCCTGTATGAAATAAAACTAAGCTAGACACACTGTGCTGCTGTGGTGCCATAAGTCAAGCACAGGAAGTTTCTGAGGGGCTTTTAAAACTGTTTTTTAAAATAACCTTTTCTAGAGACACACTCCTAAGCCCCATAGGTCTTTGAGTTTAACCTGGTTTAAGTTATATGAAAGTAACCTTATGCACCTCTCAGTGCTTTCTGGTTATTCCAGCAGTTTGAATCCTGTCCCCTGCTCCAAAGCTAGTCCATTTTAAAGTGGAGCTGGGAAACATACTGTTCCTTACAACAATTGTGCCATAAAACCTTTAAAATTCATTGGGTTTTTCCCTTACACTGAGTTGTAGAACTAAAACAGGGATAGTTATGCCAAAACCATTTTATTAAATGTGTATTTTTGGTGTTATTTAGTCTTTTGTTCCTGGAGAGTTGACATCTGTCTGGGCAGTTCTGTATCTGGTGGTGAGGGGTAGAGCTCTGCCAGTGGGCAGCTATAAATGGTGTTTGGCCAAATTACACCTAAACTCAGTATGTTTTGGGCTGCTGCCACGTTCATGGAGGCCATGTGGTGCAGGGGAATATCAGAGCTCACGTTTGGAGCTGCAGCCTCTGGAATTGCTGATGCAGGGCTGCCTTTGCAGGGATGCTCCAGTGGCAGTCAGTGCTTCCTGTGAGCAGCTCCATCACCTCCTGCTGCACGGGGTGCCTTGTGCAGGAGTGCACCTCCAACATCCAAAACACCTCCTTCCACTCTCTTCCCAACAAGCTACAGCTGCTCTGTCACTGTCAAGTGTCCAGACCTTTAGATTTCCCCCCATTTCAGTGCTCTAAGTGCTTTATTTCAGATGTGAGCCGCTGATTTCTGTTTAGAAAGTCTCAGTGGCTTATCAAGTCAAGGAAGAACATTATGGAAAAATGTGTGCACAGTTCCTTTTCAAGTAACTTCTTTTAACCATATCTACTAATTAAAACACTGTGCTTTTTCAGACAAAGTTGAAGGATTTCTAAATAAGCTTGAGTTTTCATAAATCTGAAAAAGAAATCAAATGACAAGGAAGCTGATATTTATCCTGTCCTGTCCATGACAACAAGGTGCTCTTCTATTTAAGACCCTGATCCACAAGTGAATCCCACATGGATGTTAAGGGCACTTGTCATTTGCTCTGTGTACTAATTTAATGTAGGGAGGAGAAGTTAGATTTTTTTTTTAAGTTCTTAAAGTTGTTTTTTTTCCCAAGTCATCTCAAATGTTAACAGGTGTCTGAATTTTCCACTGGCATTTCTTCGTGCAGAACTTTCTGATAAAGTGCTCCCCTCACATTGCTGATAAGGGGTGGTCAGTAAAGAAAGGCATGTGGAAAAAAAAATGGAGGAACTTTCACTGCCCCTTGCTTTTTCCTGACCCTGGAAATAATTCTGTACTTGAGGGAATTCTGTTTTGCCTTTGAATTGTTCCAGGGAAATTTGCTATAGCAAACTGAAATGGAGGTTGAAAAAAAATTAGTTGAAAGATTTATTCAGGGGAAGAGAATAAAGTCTGTTATTAAGTTTGGCTTGCTTTGCAGCAGGGGTGTGTGGGCTAATTGCTAAAACTATTTAAAAGATGGAAAAGTACCTGAAAACACAGAGGTTGTACTTGCGTCTCTGCTCTGTGGCCTTTGGCTTTGCATGTCAGACTGCAGTTTCAATTAATTGCCATTAGTTTCTCAGCATCTGACTTTTAATATTTTATAAATAGAATATATAATTACATTTTATAAACATCCTTCAGTACTTTTTAAATATTTTATAATTAATGTATTTTTCTTTCTCAGCAAAGATAAAGCCTAAACAAATACTTGCAAAACCCCCTAATTGTAATTTCTTTTCTCAATAGTCTGCTTTTGATGTAAAAGTTATCTTTACAGCAATTTTGGTTTTTTTGGCCTAAACCAAAACACTTTTCTTTGCAGAAGGTGTTAGCTCTGTTAAATACAGAAGGAATAGAAAATCCTGCTTCAAAGAGCCAAAATATTTATCCTTCACTATCAAACTTTGATATCTTACTTGTGGTGAAAATTACCACATCCTGATTGTCATATTTCTGGACCTGAGTAGAAATGATTTGTCTTCACTGTGTCATGTGTGTTGTAAAACAGATGAGCTACACCACATGGAACCTGAGCAGAGCTGCTTGCTCACATTTTATCAGTCTCCTTGGGCTTCTTCAGGCTGCTTGTCAGTGAAAATAGATCTGTTGTGCAGAGGAAGCATTAGCATGTGTGTAATTTTTAAATTGGAGAGAATGCTTTGCTGTGATGTAAGAAATGTAAGGAGACTTACCAAGGTCCAGTTTAAAAACTGATCAGTGGCATTCATAGTGATTTTTTTCATAGTGATTGTTTTTCTTTTCGTGTCCTTGGACAATTTTAAAATTTTTTTATTTGTGTGTGTGCAATTAGTGATTAACCCAGTGAGAATGAATATGATTACTTCTTCTGCCCTCTTTATTTTAGTTTCATGTGTTTAAGAACCAGTTTTATTCCTTCTTCCCTTCTCAGTGATCTGCATTCTCACATTTTTGGTTAAGGGACACAAAGTGAAATCCCTCCTTGAGGTGGCTGACAGCACTTGCAGAGCAAGAGTGTGGAGACTCAGGAATTGCCTGATCATCTGAGGCCCTCTGGTGCAGACAGCAGGACCTGGGCAGAGCACTTTCCTCTGAATCCCAGTCACTTCCCTCTGTGGATGGGGTAGTACTTTCTTTTCAAGGAGCATATGAATGCTTCAGATTTGCAAGACCCTTTTGAGAAAAAAATAAATTGATCACAATCAAGTGTTTCCATTTTGTGGATGAAGTGTTCTGAATGTGTTAATCTTCACTTCTGCCTCTGGGACAGGAAATTTGTAAAAAACTTCGATGTGTTTTTTCTTCCCCACATGCATGTAGTTGGGATGGTAGCAAAATGTTCCATACCAGGTGTTTCCAGCTGACTCATAGCAAGTTTGTTGCCCTTTTTCATGGAGGTACAAGATGAGTTTCAAGGATTGTGTACACTTCAGTGTTCATTATCTTAGTGGTGTTTGTGCAGGCTGTCTGGATCTCAGACTTCTCTTAAGGTTTTTCTTCCCTCTGCTTTAACACTTGAGATTAGCCAGGCAGACTGATGTATTTCAGTTTCTCTCTTTTGGTTTTCCAGGATGGCCCCCAGAGGAAAAAACGAAAGTCTGAAGTTGGAGGAGAAGTGGACAAGCAGTTAGATATCCTGGCTATTGGTACAGCAGTTGGTAGCATTTTGTTGTACAGCACAGTAAAAGGAGAATTACAGAGCAAGCTAGTAAGTATTGCACTCTTCATCACATGCTACCAAACACTAATGGTTTCAGTCAGTTTAGGCCAAAAAAATCTTGGTTTCTAAGTTAGTGCAACATCTTAACACTGTCCATGGATTTGCTGCTTTCCATTAAAATAACAGTAATGATGAAATTCCTCACTGGAGAGTTAAATCCTTGCTGGGACTGTCATACCCTCAGTTCCTGCATGACATTGTGGAAGGACAGAGAACTCATCAATGCTTGGGAGGGTGTCACATTGGTGGACTCTTCTGTAAATTTACCTCCCGTGTGGAAGCTCTTAAGCTCTCTCAGCACATGATCTTTTTTGAATAATACACAGTGACTTGAATTTTGCCTTTCCAAACTCCCAAGCCTCCATTTTAGTTGTGGGTTACATAACAAGCAAAATAAATCCATAAGAAAGGCTGTGCAATGCTTTTGAGATACTTGGGGTATACTTTTGCTTCTGAACTCAAAAGTTGTAGTAGGGTGATAAACATACATGAATTTAGAGAAAGCAGTTATTTCTGAGAGTTAGGATGCATGCAAATGACAGTAACTAATGAATATCAACTCCATCATATGGAAGAACTGTGTTTGAAAAGTGTAGTTGTAGTTTGTTTGAAAACACTCTTTCTGTAGAAGACAGCAGGTTTTATGAGTACTTTGCTTTTTACATATAGGTTGAATTAAAAGATTATTCCTGTTAAAATAAGAGATGTTACTTTCAGCTATCTTTACTGAAAGAATATCTTGCTGCATTGTAGTTTGTCTTGCTCAAAGCTCATTTGCATCAATACCTTTGAGAGTAATCTGAGCAGGTTGTTACAATCCAAATAGTGAAATAGACTCCATTAAATATGTTCATTTCAGGGTTATATTTGGAGCTGCAGATATTTTAGTTGTTAAGAGAAGTGATACTGCTTAAGGGGTCCTCTGGTCTGATGACTGTGTATGATTAGTGTATGCTAATACAAAGGGAAGGAAGGCTACTCACCTCTGAGTGCCCTTAAGGAAGGAGGCACTTAGATGACTTCAGCATCTAAGACTGAAATCTTTGAGCAGATTTTGCACAGTTAGCCTTGTTTGGCTGTGTGTATGAAAATAGCAGGCAAGACAATTTTTTTTTTTTTTGGAAGGGATCTACAAAATTGGTCTCCTGTCCAGTAGCATCCCACCCTGAAACTGAAAGGATCGTGCAGGTGTGTAGGTGCTTGTGGTCAAAAAGGAATGACAAAAGACACAGGCTCCACAAAATCTATAAAGTTGTATCAGTGAATTATACACTTGGCATGGAAATTGGTGTCTTCTAATATAAATGCACAGCAGTGGGTTTTGAATAAGGAGTAGGACAAAAGAGAAGAGAGAGAGAAAGGAAGGAATGAAGAAAGAAAACTCACCAGTCCTGGCTCCAGCATCAAACCAGCTGAGGGGTGTCCAGGGGCAGCCATTGTTCAATGTTGGGAGTATTTTTTATAGACCAGCTCTGCCCTCCCTGAAGCAGTTTCTCACTTTCTATGAGAATTAGTTACCATGTGCAGTTTGCTCTAGACCTTTCTGGAAATGGGCTGGAGGGCTTTGGGAGGTCTTTGGTGGTTTTGATTCCACCCTGCAGGCGGTGCCTTTTGTCAACAGTCCAGGCCCAGTTCATGAGTCTTTCCTGTGCTTGTGCTGTGCTGATCATCAGGAGCCAGAACAAGGCTGGACCAGCAAAGTGCTGCCCTTCCTTTGCATGCCCCCATCTCCAGCCATGTCCTGTTCTTTCCCACAGTGTGTTCTTACCAGCAGTCCTTGGTTGGCTCCCTGGCAGTCTGGCTGTCAGTGTTTGAGACACACACATCAGATTATCTTATGGACTGTCTTCTACATGGCCTGCACAGGACAGCCTTGGGAGTCACATGTGCACCTGAGGGCATGCTCTAAATGCTTCTTGAGCTCTGGCAGGCTTGGGGCTGTGACCACTTCCTTGGGGAGCCTCTGCAGAACTTTTTCATAATATCCATCCTGGCTCCCCCCTTCCCAACACAGCTTCTTGCCATTCCCTTTGGTTCTGTCACTGTCCACCAGAGAGAAGAGGTCAGTGCCTGCCCCTCTGCTTCCCTGTGTGAGGAAACTGTAGACAATGTCTCTTCTCCTCTAGGCTGTATAAGCCAAGCCAAAATACTTATGTGTATGTACCAAAATATGAAATATCTTTAATTTATATAACTGTCATGTATGTTCTTTAAAATCACACACACTCTTTAAGATGCCAGTGATTGGAATTTAGCTCTCAAAAGCACCTTGTTCACATAGTTGGTGTGGACAGGTTGTCAAGACTACTCCAGTGAGTTCACCCTGTGTTATCTTTTGTAGGATGGTGGTCATGACAGTAGAGTAAACTGTGTGAGATGGCATCAAGAGAGCTGCTGCTTGTATAGCTGTTCAGATGACAAACACATTGTGGAATGGAACACACAGACCTGCAAAGTAAAGTGGTGAGTGGTGCTGCTTTTCACTTGCATTTCTTTACTCTTGCTTTTGTGTGTTTTCTCCCATGCATGTTTTGGAAATGCTGCACTCTGCTTTCCAGGCTTCATGCCGACAAAGTGACTGTTGGCTGTTATTTTTCTGAGATCAGAAATGGTTTTATTAAGGAATGAAAGCATAGTTGTCATAGTTAGGTATCTTCCTCTGTGAATTGGAAAGGCTAGATCAAACTGTTCTGAGAGGGGTTGGGATCCCTCCATGTTAACTTTTAGTTTTAGACACTGAAAGACTAAAAGTCCCACTAAATGCTGAAAAATCTAAATTCTAGAAAAAATCCTTGAGTAGATACTGGAAGATCTCATTCCAGTAGAACCTGCTGCATGCACCCAGCTTTGCTCAAAGGGCCTTGCTGTGATGATAACCCACTTGGTTTCGCTTGCTGCTGATGTGCAGTGGGGACACTTCCACTTGGCTGTCTGAGCAGGCTGCTACTGTTAAAAGTACTGTTGAGCAAAACTGAGCTTAGTGCAGAGTAACAAAATGTCTGGTGTAGGCAGTTATTTTCTTCTGTAATAAAGTCAAATTGTTCTTAAACTTTAAAGAAGAATCCAGGATTTCTATGAACATCCTGGTTCCTTTTCTTCAGTAAAAGCCTACTGATGGCCCATTGATCCTTCTCTTGATGTTATTTCTTTTTTTTGTGATGTTTTGCACTGTTGGTTATTACTGCAGTGCTGGTGGTTTTATTAAGGTTGGCACAGGCACTGCAGGCAGCCCCTCATCAGCAGCCTCTTTGGTATCCCTAGGAAAGAGATATTTAGGCTGTATTATGTTGAGAACCCATATAAAGTAGCAGGAGATGGCTGTAAAATCCCCCTCCAGCCTTCCCTGTCAGAATTGAGCACACCCAGTTCCCTCACCTTTCCCTCCTCCATTATGTGCTTTAGTCCCTGAGGTGCCCTCGTGGCCCCCTGCTGGATTTACTCCACCATGTCAGTGACTTTGTGTCCTGTCCCCCTGAATGCAGTGCTCAGGTGCAGTTCCAGGAGTTGCACAGAGCAGAGGGGTCCCAGTTACTGACCTGCTGACAGCACTCTGGCTAGTGCAGATCATACAGATCATCCCCAGCTGAGCTCATTGCCGCAAGGACTCCCTGCTTGCTCCTGCTCAGCTGTACTGTGAGGACTGCAAGTCTCTTTTTTTCAAAGCTCCTTTCTAGCTCTTTGTCCCCAACCTGCAGGACTTAATGTTGTCCTCTTCAGGTTTGAGATTCTGACAGCCTGTTTCTTCTCAGGCCTGCTGAGATGCCCCTGAGTAGCAGCCCTGTCCTCCAGGATATCAACTGCTCTCCCTAATTTGGGATTGAGTGTGAAGTTATGTGTGCATTCTGTCCTGAGATCATTAATGGAGTTTGGGGCAGTTATAGAGAATATTAAGCACTACTGGGATGTCCTTAGAGGGAGTAACACCAGCTGGACTTCATAGCAGTGATCACAGCCGTTTGAGCTCAGTGATGCAGCCTGATCCTGCTCTCCTTAGGGACCATCCATTCAGGCTATAGATCTCCAGTTTGGCTACAGGGATATGTGAGACCTTGGCTTCAGCAATGCTTTTGACAACTTAATGTGTCTCTCCTCATCAACCAAGGAGATTGTCTCATTAAGGCAATCAGGTTGGTTAGACATGATTTGTAATTCTATGCTGGATGTGCTCAGAGACTTTTTGACCTTTCAGTGCCTGGACATAGTTTCCAGGTGGATTTGTTGTATGACCGGTCCTCTTGTTTCCTGGATTATTCTATGCATTTGTGTTCTTTCCCTGTTTCAAAGGAATGTTCCATGCATTTGTGCTGCACTTCTCTGTGGAGAAACCTCTCTTCTTTTTGCCTTCCTGGCTTGTCATTGCTGAAGTGCCTTTCTAAAGGTCCTTGTCTTGCAAGGCATCCCATTGTTGTTTTGTGAATGCAGTGAGATCAAAGCTCTGAAGCTGCCCATGGATGTCTCATTCACCCTGTTTGTATCCAACAGTGTGTGTGTTCATGTACAAGTACTGGAGATGGGTCCCAGCCATGCTGCTTTCCCAGGAGAATTTTTGCTGCCATACCTCTTGGATGTTTCCCTCTGCCCCCTCCCATACCAGGGACCATGGAGTGGGGGGACTGTGGTTATGAAATGTAATTTGAAGCATTGTCTTCTTTAATTTTAAAGATGACAACAGAAAATCATTCCCAGAGTGTATAGATAGAAAGTACATGAGCAATGTAACATCATGGTTTTTACATGAAAATTTTCTGTGTTAATGTTACAAGTCATAGGTAAGGTAACTCAATTTGGAAAGAGTAGAAGAAATCAGTTCTCCTAAAGTTTTGCATACCAGAAGGAACAAATTATTCACATCAATTGCTCACACCCAATGTACACATGAGAGTGCCCGCATTCCTCAACACCTGTCAAGACCCAGAAATTGATATTTGTGCAACCCACAGAGAAATCAGGATGGTTGCTCCTGGGGTAGAGAAGTGGTATTAAAATTTTTTAAATTTGATTTGCAGGCTTGTAGACGTGTTCCTATAGAGGTATGGACTGCTAGGAAGGGAATTGACACCTGCTGCTGTAGGAGTACTCCATAGGGCCACTTCAGGAGGTGTGTGCAGCACACATGAAACCTCTGGCAGAGGGACAACCTGTTGGGGAAGAGAGAGTCACTGAAGAGGCAAAGCAAGGTGTTGTAGAGAGATAGACTGAAACATTCTGAATGACTTGTCAGTCTGTAGCTTTTGCATGTCTTAAGTACTCTTGACTATTTAGAGGAATTCTAGACATGTCCTTTACGAGATCCTGTTTAAAACTATTTCCTGTAAAAATTACATAAAGAGTATCCAGAGTGCAAACCAAGGTATTTTTGCTGTACTTTATATTCTGAAGTCTAGTTTAGACTCATCTTTTTAGTACATTTAAAAATACCTTCTTGGTTTACGTTAATAAGTGGTTTAAATTCTTAAGTCATGATCTTTTCTTCAGTAGAGAATACAGAATCTTGTCATACTCTCTGTAAGGTGCAATGTTGTCCACAATTGTGGGCTGTAAAATTTTCAGCTTCTATCAAAGGTGATACAATAAATGATCCCTGTTTTAGAAAACAGAAGAGGAATTTCTTGGGCATGTGAAAGTTATTTAGAAATGTTTCCAGGAAGGCTGTTTACAATCAAAATATTAAGGTGAAGTTTATTATTGTCAGTGGCTTCCGAGACTTGGGAGGAGGAGGGTCAGTAACTGAACAGGCTTTGAAACTCTGAATTTTAGTGTTGAGGAGACTTTTTTGAATGAGTTGGTGAATAGAGAAGTCTTGAAAATGGTATGGCTCTTCTTGCCCTAATTTCAGAAATAGACAACTTGGAGAAGAATTCAGAACAGAGTAAGCAAGTGTTAAAAAAGTCAGCAGTTCAGGATTGAATAACTTCATATTTTTGAGTTTTATTTTTTTGTAAACTAATTTGAAAGCAAAATGCAGAAGCAGAATAACTTTGACTTCTTGACTGCTTAAATCACTGTTTTTTAAATTTTAGCTTAAATTTTCCATCACAGTGGTTTTGAGATTTTCCTAATGAATACTGTTTTTTCTATTTCTCCATCTTTCTCCTTTTGTACAAAAACTCCATCCAAACTCTAGTAAGTGGAAAGGCGACAATAGCAGTGTCACCTGTCTATGCATCAGTCCAGATGGAAAAATGCTGCTGTCAGCTGGTAGAACTATAAAACTGTGGGACTTGGAGACCAAAGAAGTCTACAGAGTAAGTACCTCTGTTAAACTAGGTGCAAATAAATGCCCTTCTTGATCGGTGACACTGTCTACCTCGTGTTTCCTCATCAGACATCTAAAACATTTCACTGTGTGTGAGGATACAATTAGCAGTGTTGGGATTGCTGTGATGGTACCCTAAACTGTGGCTTCCACTTGCTGAGAACTGAATGAGGACATAAAATTTTTGTTTCTGAGCATGCTGCCAGCATCCTCTCTCAAGGCTGTAGGAAAATGATGGATGCTGTTCTTTTTAACTGGGTCCCTGTCTGATACCCTTCTGTCAGGAGAACTCTGTTCACCACTGTGTCAGTTATTGCTGGCATGGGTTTTATCATGAGTCCCTCCACAAAGCCTTCGAGTTTCCTTGCTAAACTTCATGTAACTGATGGCATTATCAGTTTTGCTGTTGAAACAGTTGGAAGGCATAGGAGCAACTCCTTATTGTTCCCTGAGCAGGGCTCAGACATTGAGCAAATGGCCATGCTTTAGCTGATCCGTGAATGCTGCCGTGTTCTCTTGCCTGCTAGCAGACAGGACAGGGATAGTCTCTGAATCTCCTGTCAGGTGAGTGTGTCACATGTGCTGTTACTGTGGGCTTGCTGGCACATGGCAGCTACCATGTATGTCTGCAATCTAGAATGACCAAAATCACAATATTTGCAAAAGTAGATTGAAGAGCCAGTTTTGGGGGGCCCTTGGGGGTGGTGTGTTGCCCAAGTTTAGTGTCAGCACACGTGTCCATTGTTTAAGTTGAGAATGCAATTGAATTTAGTTCCATTGGAAAGGCTGAAGTGGAAAGCTGGGGGGGCAGAGGGGAATGCTTTGTGACAGTTACAGCAGTACAGGTGGATGCCATTTCTTTTGCATGGATTTCGTCCCGCTGAATTTGCCTTTGATTTCCCATTTAAGTTTTAAAATGTTGATAAATATCTGGCAGGTCAGAAAAAGCTTCCTTGATGTACAGAAATGCAAGGGAACTGATCACTTGTTACAAACCACTGAGCTGTCTTTGTTGACTTAGTAACGCTTGAATCTCTCCTAATGTTTGTTAACTAATGTTTTGATTTCTGCCATATGACTGCTTACAACAATCATGGAAAGATCCTGTTTTTTCTCTTAGCATTTCACAGGCCATGCTACATCAGTGTCATCATTAATGTTTACCACAGTGAAACCTACAAATGAGAGTAAACCCTTTGATGGAATTACAGGACTTTACTTCTTGTCTGGAGCTATACACGACCGATTATTGAGTGTGTGGTATGTAAGCTTTTCATCATCTGTGACAGATCATTTTGAGCATAGAGCCATCCAGTGATGGTGATTTAACAAGGTAAAGCAGAAGGGGCACTTTGGAAGAATGCAGTGATGATCTCTTTACTGGTGGTTTCGACTCACTGATTGTTGAGTGAAGACGAGATTTTCCTTGGCTGTGTCTGAGCATGCTTCCAGGTGCCATTTGTATCACTAGTGTGTGCCAGAACATATTGTGTAATAAACTTGTTCTTTGCACTTCTTGTAAGGTTTATGCAGTTTTCTTGCTCAGTTTCTCTTAGGAATTACTTTGCTCTTAGACTATTTTCTAAGCTGAACACTGAAATGTCAGCATGGTGCTTTTGGATATAGGAGATACCACCACATTTACTAGTGATTTATAGGCTTTGTAATGCTTGTCTGGTGCAGAGGATGCTATTTGTGCTCTGGTAAATAATGTATTGTTTTTTGTGTCTTCCAGGCAGATCAGATCAGATAGGAAAGAAAAGAATGCTGTGATGTCTTTCACAGTAACAGATGAACCAACTTTTGTGGACCTGACTGTATCTGAAGTCAAAGAAGAGGTAGGAGCAATAGGTTGTAAACAAATATGTTCAACAGTTTTCACTTACCACATCAGTTTCCTTTTAAGGGTGTAAAGAAAGAGGCTTGGTTTGTTTTTGGGTTCTGTTATGCAGAGATGAGATCCAAATACCAATCCATGGGTCTAAGAATATTTTTTACAGGTGCATTTATAAAGCTGGTAGTTTGAAATGCTCCTTTTCAAAGCTACTAACTTCAAATTCAGTGGGCTTTTTTCAGAAACGTTTTTCATGATGGCAGAAATGTCAGTTGCTTTCTATTTAGAACAAGTTAGTAATTAAAATGGTTGTTAGAACTTGGCAGCAAAGAAAAACACAAAATAAATTATTTCTAAAAATCTGGTTTGGGTATGGTCCTGATTTATTTCTGATTTCAAATGTTTTTGGCAGTGTAACTGCATTTGGAATTAACTAGCTTTGAATGAGTTAAAGTAGCAGTGTACATTTGCCAAGTCTCTCAGTTTTAACAGCATAAGTCTTTCAAAGTGGTTGCCTTTTGAAAAATGTGTGAATGTGAAACACGTTCACAAACTGTTCCCATAATTATTTAAAACGTTTTTGTCCTGCTGCCTTTAAATTCCTTTTCTCAGAGCAGTATTTCATGCTGTATTTTATATATATTTCCAGTTCCCTCTTCCTGCATGTCTTGGAGAGTATTCAGTAATGTACCCCTGTCATTTAGTTTCTCAGACGAGTCCTCTCAGTTTCTTTTCTCTAAGCTTATTCACAGAGTCAGTGCCTTTGCAGAGCTGAGCCTCTAGACATGTGTCTGCTACTGTGCAAACTGTTTAACTCAGTGCATATTACTAGTGATAAAGTACAGCTGTGAGTTATTTTATTAATCTTCTAACACTTGTACTGAGTGTTCCTGAGTGATTACATCTTTGATCTTCTTTTCAGATTTAGTGTAATGTTCTTAAATACTGAAAAAGTTGAAATTGTAGCCATACAGCTGTCTCTTGATGTCCTAAACTTCCAGAAGGGGGTCTCTTGATGTCCTGAACTTCCAGGAGGGTTTTTCTTTGATCTAATGAAACTCTCTCACTGTGCCTTCTTTCAGCCTGTGAAGTTAGCAGTTGTGTGCAGAGATGGGCAGTTGCATTTATTTGAACATATCTTGAATGGGTAAGTTAGGATTCACCTGGAGGGTGTCTTTGGGAGAGGTCTGGGGTTACTGCAAGGCAAAGCTCAGTTTTATTGTGCTGCTGCCTTTAAGCTCTTATAAATGCTTGTGAACCAGGTTCCAGCTGCTTCTTTGCCTTGGGTTACTGGGCATGTTTTTGAAGCACTCACTTGTTGGGAACTGTGTTGCACTTTGGTATTATGTGTGGCTTTTAACCCAGATTTTTTGTGTCTGTGCCTCATCTTAGCCATATGTAAAAGGTGTAAAATGGCGAGTTTGCTGAGGACCTGCTAATGAATGATGCTTAAATGTGCAAGATATTGAAGTGTTCAAGCTGAACATCTTGACATTTTTTGATTTCTCTTTTTTTTCAGTTATTGCAAAAAACCCTTAACATCAAACTGTACTGTTCAGATAGCAACACCTGGGGATGGGGACTCCACACCAAAGCCAGTCCCTATTCTAGCAGCTGCATTTTGCACAGACAAACAGTCTCTGCTGCTGGTGTATGGAAACGCCTTACAGCCCGTCATAGAGAAAGTGGTATGTAAAACTTAACAGAGGGGGTTTGCATTCTGTAATATCCACTGCATGCTGCTTCCAGTTGGAGAAATTTTTGGGTTTACTGGTTTTATTTGTACTTTTTGAAATGATATAAGCATACAAAACATATTCATTGCCCTTGTTTTGGGAGCTGTGACTGTTGCCCCCAGGCTGTTTGGAAAGGCAATTTGCATTCTTCCATTTTTTTAGTTGGAGTGCAGGTTGATGCCATTGCTGACTGTTTCTTGCCATTTCAGCTCTTGCTGAGTTAGGCCCTTGAAACTGGTTTTAATACAGTTCCAGTTTACCTGTGTAAATGTCCTTGAGAGGATAGAGATATGTTAACAAAAGGGAGATATGCAAAGGAGCTGCTGTTCTAGAGTGAAAAAAACATTAATTCTAACTTATACCATTGGAATTTGTTCTCATTTTTCAGTAGCATAATGAATCACAGGTGTGAGTGTCAAATATATTAACTGGTTTTGTTCCTGTCCTTCTAGTCTTTGAACACCAGTGAACCCCACATATGTTTGGTACGGGACATCCAGAAAGTGTTATCACTTAAAACAGATGCTGCTGTAACAAAGGTGAGTTTGCATGAAGTGTGGGTTTTGTTGCTTCTCTTGTTTTACTTCAGAAACGAAGCAGGTAATATTCACTGCTCTCTTAAAATGAGACTGAATTTCTGGATGGACCTGTTCAGAGCTGCAGAGGTAGCAATAGATGTAGCAGGTGTGGGCAAAGAGATCTTCATGGTTCCTGTGTGCCCTGGTATGTGCAAGAGCACGCAGTGGCCCTCTTGTAACTCAGCAGATCTGCTTGAGAGACAGGACTGATTGGTGTGGCTTTCCTGCCTCAGATCAGTCCTTCCCTTGGAGTGTGTTGGTTTGTACAACCTCTTTGACCCTGATGGTTTGGGGTGAAGGTGGGATGACTTTGTTTTAGAGTCTAAATGAAAAGTAGTGGAGCCTTAATGGGCAAGTCCTTTTTGCTCTTTCTTGGTGTGGCCTTCGTGTGTTCCTGCTCACAGGGACCTGGGAATGTGAGCTTGGCACTTGCATGGCAGCAGTGTCCACTGAGGCCGCTTGGCAGTGCGTTCTCTCGTGCAGGATCTCCTGGGTGTTTAGAGACAGGCTGTAAAGTTCTTAAACGTTGTGCATATTCAAGGCCTTGAAGATTTGAAATGCTTGAAATTCCAGCGAAGTGAGCAGACAGTGCTGTTTTCCTGACCCTTCAGTTATCTACTGGAGCTGCTGCTCCATCAGCCAGGCAGGGTTTTGTGCTGATTACTCAGTCCTGGGGCTGGTGGGTAGCAGGGCTCAGGTGCAGGGCATGCAGTGATGATACCCATCTTGGTTTCGCTTCTTGCTGAATTCCAGTGAAGACACATCTCTTGGCTGTCTGAGCATGCCCTGTGGGGAGAAGGTCAGTGATGAGTGTGGTGAGCTAAGGGCAGAGTATTTTATCACCATTGGTGTTCTGTGGTAAAATTCTCGATGCAGAAAATCAACTTTTTGGAAATTGGAAGTTGCTTTGCTCAGTATAGTAGATTATACTTTTATAAAGGCCTGGATATAAGTGCTGTGGTTTAAAGAAGTGTTCTGGAAGTAGCAGAGAATGCATTTTTGATATTCTACATTCTCTGTGAGTCAGGGGAGCATTTGGTTGTTAAATACAAAATTCCACCTCCTTTGTGTTCATTGAAGGTGGTACCTCAGCTTGTTTGGTATAAACTAAGGTGTCTCTTTTTGTCACTGGTCACAGCCTAATTCAGGCAACTGAGTTCTGTGTTTGAGCAATCCCTAGAAGAGAAGGGTTGGGATTGAAGAGAATAGTGACTACCTTTTGCTGTTACATCTTGTTGCTTTTCTTGGTCAGTTACTGCATTCCAGTGGATGCTGAATTAATCTGCATGTGGTTTTATGGAACTGAATGTTAGCACAGGTGGTATCTATCTATTGCCACCAAAACATCCAAGTAAATGTTGTTTGATACAAACAGTTCTGTGAATGTTACAGCAAAGGCTTGTTAGAAAAGTGGTTCACAGGTTATTCCCAAGAGACCATTGCTTTAGTTAATTATGAAAAGTAACTGTCTGTTTCTTGAGGTTATTAATTCTCTTAAATATGTTTTGGATTTGCCTAATATTCATGTCAAGAAAATGGGTTGTGTCAGGCTGGTTTTACCATATGTGTGAGAGTTGCAGAATAAAATCCATATTTTAAATGGGAAGAAAGCTCAGGATGCCAGCAGTTCATGCAAATGTGGTTCTTTCTGTGTGCCAGGTAAAGACACCTGTGGTGAACTCGGAGGCCAAAGTTCTAGTACCTGGCATTCCAGGACATAGTACAGCTGTCAAAACTCCAGCCCTGGGAAAGGAGAAAAAGAAGAACAAGAGGAAACCAGGAGAGACAGAGGTAAAAGGCTTCTTATTTCAAACTCAGCAAGACTGGAGAGACTAGAATCACAAATTGTCGTTATACCTTCTTTAGGTGAACTTGGATTTGCTTTGTTTGCTGTAGAAGAAAGGTTAATGTTACCATCTTTCTATATGAAAGAGACTTCCCCCTTCTCAAAACATTTCTTTCTTTCAAGCCCTCTATGCCTTGCCTGTGGTTTTGCCAGGTTGTTGCAGAACTTTGTCACACACTTGTTGCTGCCTATGCCAAGATAGATTAGTGCTTTTCAGCCAAAACTTCATCTGCCTTTGTTTTCTCATGCTATCTTCTGTCAGTACATTAAAAAAAAACACACAAAATTTGTGTTCTTCTCCAGCAGAACTAGTGAGAATGCTCCAGGTTAGGTACTTTGCTTTCAGCTGACACTTGTGAGAAATCACTCTGACACAGCACTGCCTTGTTTCCCCTCTGCAGGAGAGCATCGAGGAGCGCCTTGGGGCATTGGATATTGATGTGAGCAAAG